TAATGTGCCTCATGTTCTGCAAAGCTCTTATATATTTTATAATGTAGTATCCGGGAGTGAAATATGGAGCATACTGAGATAATTCCTGTCAGCTGACAACTGAATGTTTTGAGGCTGTAGCAAAATGTGAAGTATGGACACCTCTATAATAATTTCAGTTGTTGACCACTACCAGATCTTAGTGAAGGAAGATTCCTCATGTACTAATTGCCAAAATAATAGCCTTGATAGCACTGCTGACACTTTGTTGCCTGTTCTGCACTCATAATTCTCAAAGCCTTTGTGGGTAATTCATTATATGTTGGTAGTTGTGAGAATTAGCATGCTGTGGGATTTGGGGGTAGGGCTATTTTTGATTGGTCATATCTCCTATGCAAAATCAATATTCATTTTGTTTGAAGCCTAGCATAATTTTTCCAGTACAGGACTTTAACATGCTATTTTTCTGCTAATCAAGCATGTCATAAGTTGATGTTCATAAGATAGAATTTGTAATTAACCATAGATAAACTCTGAGCTGCCAGTCTCCCACTCTACATTCTTTAAGAGGATCTAGCACTATTACTTTTTCATTGGCATATTATATTTATAGTGAAATCATTTCCCTTTTTAATACTGGTTTCATTGACTGGTCTAGTTGATTATTTTTTTTTCCTCTGGTGAGCAAAAAGCTCTGAAGCTTTGATTCACATGACAATAGAACCATTGTTACACTAGCAGATACAATTTGAAAATCCTCTGCTGTGTGCTGCAAAGTGCAGACACGTTTCTATAATGGGCCAGACCCAATTCTGATACAAAGGCACATCTGCATCCTTCAGTACATCTGCAGTTGTCAGCCTAAGCCACCTGGGCACAGGTTGTTAGTTTTGAGTGAATCATGCTGCTGTTGAAAGTTGTCCTTCAATTTACCATCCTTCCATTCTGTAAGCAAGCTCTGTTATTCTCTGAGTTAAAAGCAGCAGGACACCAGGACAAGGTATCTTTCTATTGTACAGCCACTTAGTATAAAGAGTTCCAGGCTGGCTTGTAGGCCTGAGAACTCTGACTTACAGACCAGGTCGTTATGTGACTCTGGGATTCTGCAATTACTGCCACCTTTGCTTCTGCAGGTGCTTTAGCAGCCACTTGCAGCCTTACCAGCCTCAAACATCAGCTTCAGCTTTTGGTTGCTCTGCACCAGAATTGCCTGAAATTTGGCAGGTTTTAGCTACTGGTTTGCAAGAGAACTGAGCCATGTTGCACTGGACTCGGGAAATTCTGGGAAGGTCTGTTAACCCCTCCCCCTAGTTGTGCTCAATGGAGTTAAATCCAGTTGGGACCTGTCATGAGTGGTGTCCCCAGGGCTCAGTGCTGGGGCTGCTCCTGTTTAACATCCTTATTGATGACTTGGATGAGGGGACAAAGTGCACCCTCAGTAAGTCTCAGATGACACTAGGCTGGGTGGGAGTGTGGATCTCTTGAGGGCAGGGAGGCTCTGCAGAAGGACCTGAACAGGCTTGACCTATAGACCAAGGCCACTGGCAGGAGGCTCAAGAAGGCCAAATGTCAGGTCCTGCACTTGGGTCACAACAACCCCTGGGAGCTCTACAGGCCTTTGGGAGGAGTGGCTGGAGAGCTGCCCAGCAGAGAGGGACCTGGGGGTGCTGGTTGATAGGCAAGTTCTTTAATATGAGAGTGGTAGATCACTGGAACAGGTTACCTAGAGAGGTGGTGGAGGCCTCATTCCTGGAGACATTCAAGGTCAGGCTTGATGGGGCTCTGAGCAATCTGTTCTAGTGTGAGATGTCCCTGCTTATTGTAGGGGGGTTGGACTGGATGACCTTTAGAGGTCCCTTCCAACCCAAGACATTCTATGATTCTATAGGAATCAATAACAAGCAATATCCATTTATGTCATTTGGTAACTTATTGCAGACACTGACAGTTCAAAGTTCAATAGAAGGAAAAAAACACCTCTGAAGAGATGCACTGATGGTTAAGCAACACAAACCAAGATGATTTAACATCTTCCAAAAGGCAGAGGTTCCCCTTTGCTGATTTACTTTGAGCTCCCTTTGCTAGTGATCAGATGCTACATAAATTCATTTTTCTTGCTAACTCCAGGGAAGAGGAAGAGATATTTCAGCAATGGAATCTGCATATGAAAGGTTTTAACAGGCACCAGAGCAAGCACAAGTGAAGAGTCTGGGTGCAGTAGCCAGGACTGTGGTGCTGGGAGCTCTGGTAGGGCTCAGTTGCTCACAGAATTGCAGGAGGTGGGGTGGGTGAGGTGCATAGGATCCCTACAAGCAAGTTCAGGTCTTTTGCAAAGCAGAGGTATTTGCACCACCAAGGAAATAAAACAATGCCTGTTAACTGGGAATGGCCAGACTGACACCAGCATTAAACAAAAGCAAATCGGCTTTAGGGAGATTTAAGTTATTGCAACTCCCTGGAACTGAAGGTCAGTGGGCAGAATACAGCAGAGGACAAGGACAAGTTGAACAGACACTATCCCAGGCATTAAGGTTCACAGCCAAGTGGAACCCCTGCTAGGAGATTGACTGCAAAATCGGTTACCATGTCAGATGGATAAAAACAGAGACCCTCCTAATCCAGCAAAGGTAATTTCAAGAAGACTGGTGCCATCACACACAGCCCTGCCTCCTCAGGACTTCTTGCTTGGTAGAGATTTTGACTCTTCTGGACTCCACGAGCCATTAACCTTGGTAACATACCAAAAGATTTGTTTGGCTCAGGTAAGCATGGGCTGATGACCTAACAAGATGAATCTGCTCCATGAGTCCAACACTCCTGGGGCAGTGAAATGGAGGAGAAGAGCTGGAAGCAGGAGGGAGACTGTGCTTTACACAGCAGTGTTGTGAATCCATTCAGCTTCCCCAGCAGTCATGGTGCAGAGGCACAGCTCCGTAATTATCATCTGCCAGTCAAACTGCTGCTGAAAGGGACTTCTCTCCCTAGCTACCTTGCTCAGTCAAGATCTACAGCTGCCTGTCCTCATCATGAGCACTTCTGTTGCCAGAACCTGACAGAAGCTCAGGGTGACTTCAAAGTAGTGAATTAACTAGATGTTCCTCTCCAGAAAATGGGGCAAGCGTATGAACATGTGGTAAGGGACCCAGCACATCTGCTAACATAGGGGTCCCCTTGAAACTTATGCAAAGCTGAAACATGAGAAAAACGACATTTCAGAGAGTACTGGTGGCAAGCAAGCTGTGTAGCAAGACACTGAATTCCATGGGACTTCATTTTTTAACACCAGATCACAACACTCATTCTCACAGCTAATCCTGTCTCCCTTACAGGTTTTAAGGCAGAGACTCTGTGGCTGAGCTCACATGGCATAGTGAAGATTTCAGTGGTGCACAAAAATGCAAAGTAAATCACAAAGCCATGAATTTAAGCCTTCATCTGTTCCCTTCGGAATTTGTCTTTAATATTTATTTCAGCTCTTCCATTGTCCACTGTAGCTTGAGATGCCAAGAAATTGGTCTTTAGTGGGGACATATCACTCCACAGTTTTTGGGGAAAGCCAACCAGCTGACAATAGAATAGGAAAAAATACTTTGAAATGTGTAAAAAATTTGAGTTTTAACTGGGTATAAACTAAACAGGTCAATAGTATATTGCTTTTCGTGATGCTCTTATCACCAGGTTACATATTCCCAGGAGGAGGAGATACCATTTTTTGTTCACATTGATCAGCCCCAACTAAAAAGAACCAACCCCCCAGACAGCTCTGCACACAACCTGATTACAACTCACAGCAGCACCATCTTCCACAGACTGCGGAGCCAGGTGATGCCAGACTTCATGGAGCAGTCTCTCTTCCACAGCTGATCACACAGATGACACTTTCATTAAGTCAGAGCTGTTAAAGGCATTGGACTTAGTGCTGTCTCTGCAGACAAGATGTGCCCCCAGCTGCCAGTCACACCCTTGTCAGCACTTTCTACTTGAAAGGCTCCCATTTGCATCCTGCTGCTCCAGACTGGGCAGTTTCAGCCACTTCTCTCAGTCCAGCTTCCTCACAGAACTGCAGTATAAAATAAGATGCCATGAAGTAGGGTGGCTTTTACCAGTGGTAGGAATGTCTGTTCAGGCAGATTCACAGACATGACAGTAGAGGCAAGGAAGGAAAGGCTGCTTTCTTACATAAAAATCCCCTTCTAGCCAGGGCTTAGTGCTGTAAGGCCACACTATTCCAGTAGGTCACTTGCTGTATGTTTTATGGATTTCTTATATTAAAATCACAAGAGTGACTAAAAAAAATTCATCTTAATCCATCCTTGTTTGGAAAGAAACACTGAGAACTAGAGATAGAATAAAACTGGGTAATTAAAGTCTTTGTGGAAAAGAACATTCAAATAGAAGTCAGCCTCTCAAGCTGTCTTGCTCCATGAACTCCCACCACCATCACTGTAACTTAACTCATCTTTTTCAGTTTAAGGCACTAAATACTTGAGTGCAATAAAAGTACCCTGTTTTTTTATACTTTAAGTTTTTTTTCAGTTTAAGTTTTTCAGAGTGCAATAAAAGTACCCTGTTTTTTTATACACTCTGCTAGTTCAGTGGAGAGCCACCTCCCTCCTTACAGCACAGTGATTTTTCTTGAGATAGTTATTTCTGTGTGAACAGGTCTCTACACAAGTACCATTTTCCCCCCAACGTCTCTTGCAGCTGTAACTGTGAAGCTACCACACTAAGTACAAATGGTCATTTATTTCAATTAAATCTTAAGAAAATCATGAAGTGCTGTACAGAACTGCCTATTCTAGAAAATAACCTTATTTGGGAAGACTAATGAAGTTTAAAATCAGATTTTTGTTTTCATGAAACAGCTACCGAACAGAAGAGACTGAGCAGTTTATTTGACATTGCTGCAGAACACAGTACAATTGGATGAATTTGGATGATGTTGGCCAAAGCATAGAGTCTTCAACGCTGCTTCACACCACAGTCAGCATTGGCCATGCACATTCAACAACAGCATCAGCTTAGTTATCGTTTTTAAGCTTCTTGATCTTATACTTATGACGCTCGATTTCTTTCTGCAGACGCTCTATCTCTTTCTGGTGGTGATCGATCTCCTCCTCATGGTGTTTCCGTAAGGCAGAGAGCTGCTCCCGCTCCTTCTCCCTGCAAGGAAGCACAAGGTGCAGCGCCCGCACCCCCGGGTCACCGCAGCCCCCTGCTCGCCTCGGGCAGGGGCAGGCCCGGCCGAGGACCCAGGCCCAGCCCCGGGCCCCGCGGGGGGCACCGGGACGGGGCGGGGGCTGCGGG